GCAAAGCATAAAACCAAGGAAAAGGGTAAATTTGGAATTTGCGAGTATATCTTGGACATTATATAATTATATTTAGCTATTGTTTGGAAAGTGGGTTTGGGGCTAAAATAGCCATGAAAAACAAAATAGGCTTTTAGCCCGATAAGACAATATTATATCCAACGCATAATCATTTCATTCTTTCTCTCACAAAAAAGTCAAAAAAACTAAAAAAGCTAAAAGTCCTTTCCAAACTAGGCTTTTTAGCCCCAAGCTAAAATAGTCAAAAAAGTCAAAAAGCCAATCCACTTCCCAAACCAAGCCTTAGTGTTAATTTTAATTTTGTGATATTTGTCAGTTACTATGCTATTGGAGAAATATTATGTTGTTTCAGTTAGAATATTTTCGTAACTTTGCAATTTGCTAGAGATGGGTTGGGGTCAAGTTACTTTTTTTGGGTCTTTTTATATAGTTCTTATAGGCGTAGAATAATTTAATCAATTAAAGGGTCTTGATTTCCTATTTGTGAATTATAGTTTTTGTGCAACTAGGAGAAGTTTAACAGTTTATAAATGGGGGAATTACAACCCAGTGGGAGAAATTCTTTTTTTTTTTTTTACACAAAACACATAACCTTTCACTTGCACCCCATCACAAAATCACTTGCACTCCACATGTTTTTGTAATTTTTTATTTTTTTCTGTCCCATTGTTTTGAAATCCCCCTTTCATAAATACCTTATGAAATTACTATTCAATGTTGTTGAAATCTAGAGAATTGCATAGTGTGTTTGTGAGATTTTTTGGGGGATTTGGTCGAAGCTCTTTCATATTGGCCTCGTTTGGTAGAGCTGTGGGAAAGTGATTATAACTTATAGCCTAACAGCTTATAGCTTATAGCTGTGAACATAAGTTGATTTTTGATTTATAAATTAAGCTTCTCCTCCCCCACTTAAAGAATAAGTTGATTTTTGACTTACATAAAGCTATAAGCTGTATTGTTAAGCTGAACCAAACACATCAAAATAGTTTGAATTAAGCTAAAAGCTGAAATAAGCCCTACCAAACAGGGCCAATAAAACTTAATGCATCAAGGACTAGCACAAAAAGTTTTCCTTGAAAAGTCTAACACAGACCACTATTACCAAAATATTAAACTTTAAAATAATGTAACTTTTGATCTAAATATTGGTTTTGAATAAAATTAGTATTTTTAGAATCCTGTCATCAAGATCTATCAAACAAGATCTATGTTGACTATAAAATTCTTAAAAATAAAAAAATAAAAATTATTGTCGTAGAAATTGATGTAAACAATAACATGTTATTCTATTTGAGAGTAATATGTTACATTGGCAATATTGTCCAAGAAAAAAAAGAAGATATTTTACTCCTTGCTCCATTATCCGCCTCTTTGGGGGTTTATGAAGTAAAATAAATTGGGCTGTCATATTCACCAAAGGGGTTCAATGGAGGGGTTTTGGCTAAATTTTCCAGATTTTTTCCCAACCCTTGTGATGGTAAGGCCTTCTCTTTCTCTATTCTTCTATTTGTCTCTTCTACTATTTGTGTAGCGTTAGAACAATCGCAATTTCAAACTCAAAACCTTTGCCAAATCAATCTTAAACCCTTCCCTTACCTAGTGGCTTTAGTTCATTATTAAAACATAAATTTAGCCATTGTCCATTCAAACGTCACATCAACTAAAATTTTAAATCTGTAATTTGCCAATTTGAAATTGATCTAATTAGGGCTGGGCATAGGATTATCTGACCCACGAAAACCGTCCTTCCCGATCCGACCTGATCATGTTTGGACATTTTGAGTGTATAGTAGAGTTGGATGCAGTTTAGAATATAGCTGTGTTGCGGGTTGCAGGTGGGTCTAGGGTGTTACCTGCACCCGCCTGCACTTGTACGTTTCTTTTAAAAAAAATTTTTGGACTGTCGATCTTCTTGATCGACAGATTCATATTAGATATTTTTTTTGCCTAAACCCTAATCTTCTCTTCTCTCCTCTCAGCAGCAGCCTCTCCTCTCACTGTCTTACTCACTCTCGTTCTTTCATCTCTCTCTCTATGGCGACCGGTGATCGGCTGGCATGACACCTTGGGCAATCCACATACTCAAAATATGCTACAGCCTTTATATATATCACGAATCTTGTTGCACTCGAGTTTGGCATCACCGCCATGGTCACGGCCTCCGCTTCTCCGACAGTCATAAAATTCCCACTCCCATCCTTCGATCTTTCTTCGACAACCATGTTGGAAACCCACCCTGCACCGTCCCATACTCCGGGAACACCTCTGCTCTCGACTCAATCTCTCAGTCACTCTCATTCTTTCATCTCTCTCTCTCTCTCTCTCTCTCTGGTGACTGGTGATCGGCCAGCGCGACACCTTCAGCGACACCTGTGGCTGCAATCCTTCGTTGAGGTCAATTCGCCTCTTTCTTTCCATTTGTTTTGTCATGAAAGTAAAAAACTTAGATTTATATTTATACTTTAGGAACAATCTAGACAATTGTTTTTTAGATTTATATTTTAGGAACAATCTAAACAATCCTAATCTTTTAAGTCATTTCCATATTACATGAATATTATTGGTTTTTTTATCAGAAAAATCTATCTTGGAAACTTGTATTGTTGGTACAAAAAAGCCCTAGAAAAATGGGGGGAAAAGACCAAAAAATAATTTTTAGAAAATGGGGAAAAAAGACTAAAAACTAATTTTTTTTTGAAGAAAAAGTCCAATCTATAAACCGGTACATTGCGAACTCTATCCGCACAAACGGCAACCTGTACTATGGGCCGTTGTGGGTTCACTTTTTCCCAACCCGTAGTTAATCGGGCGGGTTCAACCCGTAATCCGAACTGCACAAAACTGATCCGCGAGCACCCCCTAGATGTAATCGTTAGCCTTTTCTTTCTACAAAGCTAGGGCCATGTTTGTTTGGCTTATTAAGTAGGGCGGCATTATGAGTACGGTGAGATTTAGTGATGCGATTGCTAGTATGACAGTATTAGGTTGTTTGTGAAATTAATTACAAAAAAATTTTGCTGATTAAAAAAAAAAAAAAAAAATTGTAAGTTTGACTTTCATAACAAAATAAACATGACATTTTATTTTTGTCAATTAAAATTTAGGGTTTATTTTGTTACAAAGGTCAAACTTTAATTAATTAATTTATTTTTTTAATTTCTCCAAGTTTATTTGTTTGTTTGTTTGTGTCTAAGAAGTACGAACAAGGATACGGATGCGAACACAAACACAGATGCGGACACGGGACACCGCGGATTTCAAAAAACTGGGGACACGGCGGGGACACTGGAATAAAATATGTTTTCATATATTTTTATTTGCTATCTATATTAATATATCCTCAAACAATCAATATTAACAAAAATTAACTCTAATTGTATATATATATGTATATTTTTTTAAAAAGTACTTTTAAATTAACACTTACAATTTATATATATATTTTTATGGGTGATTTATTAAGTATTTAAATTTAAGAAAAAAATAATAAACATTCCACATTTGTCAAAAGCACTAAATAAAATGGAAGAAAATATATCTTGGCATGTTCCTAATGTGCACCCAAAGTATCCCGGTGTGTCTCCTGAATATAAATTAACTAAATAAGGGGACATGCCATGTACTAACGTGATGGTATTAGTGGGTGGGATTAGTAGTACACCTGGACTAACAATCTGGTTGATAATTAACCAACAAAACATGCCATATAATGCCACACAATAATTTTCTCTATTAATTTAATGTATTTAATTTTCAACAAACAGACAGAAATTTCTCTAATCAATTAAGCATGGAGTATGTTTGGTTTGAGTTTTAGAAATGAGTTTTAGAAAAAAATTTCCAAAATATTGTTTGGTTTGAGATTTTTCTCAAAAAATTTCTAAAATCACTCTTTCTCTCTTACACATCAATCAATCACTTTTTCTTTCTCCTCTCTCCTTCTCAATCACTTTTTCTCTCACACACATCTACTCAAATCATCCCAAACTCCCAAACTTCAAAACTACTTTCAAAATATACGACCAAACAAACCAAAAAAATTTCTAAAACAACTCTCCTAAATTTTTTTCAAAAACAACTCTCCCAAAAATAAACCAAACAAGCCCTCCTAAATCTTTGGAATCAATGCACATGGACATTTATTTGTACATCAAAGATACACATCCATGTAATAATTAAATAAATTTAGATGTGTAAATATAAAATTTCATCAACAATACGCATATACATAAATGGGTAAATTACAAATACATCCCCTGAGGTTTGATTAAAGTACAAATCGCTCCCTGTGGTTCTGGAAATTACATTCCACCCCTTGAGGTTTCTAATATCATAATAAATCGTCCCTTTTATTAATAAATCATCAAGTCAATTAACAGTTTTTAATGATGTTATAAATATGTTTCAATTAATGATTTAGCTAATTTTATTATTGTCTTGAAGAACAATTATGAATATTTTTTTTTTTTGTTAATTCTGTTAAATAAAAAAATTTAACGAGGTGGTATTTGTAATTTTTCAAACTACAGGGGGCAACCTGTACTTTAAGCAAACCTCAAGGGTATATTTGTAATTTACCCTAGATAATTTTATCTAAGCCACACAATAATTTTCCATTATAGTTTAAATTGTTGATTCAAAACAAATAAATTTTTGTAATCAATTGCATAGATAGATTTATTTGTATATCAATGATACACATACATGTAATAACTAATTTACTTTCAGAAATATACATATAAAATTACATCAATAATGCACATACAAATATTATCGATCTAAGCAACACAATAATTTCCCCTATTAGTTTAATTTGTTTGATTAAATACAAGTACATAGATGAAGTTTTATAATCAATTGAGCAAATAAATTTCTCAATAGATAAATATATCTGATTCAATCATATAAATATGTATGAATTTTATCTTATTGAGAATCAAATAAATAGATACATGTAATAGGCTTATTGAATTTTTTTTCAGGTTGGTCAATGATACATATAGGATTAGTATGTTTGATGGATTGATAAAATTCAATTAGATAAATTTATATGATTTTCAATGAGATAAATTTCATATGGAATTGATTATAGAAATTTATCACATAAATTTAACTGAGTTGTAGTTAGCCAGTACATTTTTTTTTTCACAAACAGGAAGTTTCGGATCCAATTTGGATGTAATGAGGATTACCGTATATGACACAATATCTCTGTCGATTCCTTCTAGTCGAGCCTCTCAGTTTATCATTATACCTGGTCTCATACATGGAATTCTGTGAAAAGCAGTATGTACGTCATGGAGGGAGATCTTTCATATCTTTCGAGATCCACCCTAAAAAATGCAAAGAATCATATTTTACTCAGTAATGAAGAGTTTGAACCAATATTTCTAGATGGATGGAGTGGGGTATTACTAATGTGTTTAGGTCAAGATTTCTATATGAACCAGTATCCTATGTTTGGGTGTTGTGCTTATTGTTTTGAGATTTCTTTTTACCTTTTCGTGATGTCAATTTCGTCAACAAATTATTGCCTTCTTTGATTTGGTTGTCATTCTTTTCGTTTTGGGTTGTGCAGTTGTAGGTGTCATTGCTACATCAGGCGATTGCTTTGCATTTTTTGGTAGATGTGAAACCTGTTTCTGCTTCTTCAGAGGAGGGTTTTGGTCTTTATTGTTGGATACATCATCGGAGACAACATGTTCCTCTTTGACGTCAATTAAGGGTTTGGTTTCTGAATCAGGAGTTCTAGCAGAGGTGTCCGTGGTGATGGTGGCGATGAGGGCAGCGCTGTCGGTGGCAGCGGTGGTGGTGGTGATGGTGGGTGGTGTCGGATCAGTGATTGCAATGTTGTTGATTTCGTTGTTGGATGAATCGTTGTCAGCGTCCTCATCTTTGTAAGTCGTTAATACCATATTAGTATATCTAGCACATAATTTAAATGTGCATTTGTCCTCCAAAAAGTGACATTGAATGAATTGATTGCAAAATTTGAGATTCTACTATTACTTTACCTTCTAGGGAAAATTTTAATAGTAGAGAAATTCATGCCAGCAGTGCCAATATTGTATGTTTGGGGCGATAAAAGAAAGCACTGAATAGTCCTACTATAGGCATCATCATCGTCGTCGTCGTCATCATTATTCTTCTTCTTATTATTCTTATTCTTATTCCTATTCTTCTTCTTCTTCTTCTTCTTCTTCTTCTTATTATTATTATTATTATTATTATTATTATGTTTTCAGAAAAGAATTGAGAATCTATTCCTTCTATATGTGTTTATATATAAATCCTGTATCTTTGATGAATTGATAAATCCCATTTAGATAAATTTATCTGATTTTTAGGGGTTGTTTGGGGTGCCCTAAATAAGTGCATCTTTTGTCTTTTTAGACTAAAAAATTGAGGAAAAAAATATAGATGTTTGGGTTAACTTTTTTACTTTTTATGGAAAAATGTGTATTAAAAAATTGTATAAATAAGTGTATAGGGCAATAAAGTAATGGTGTAGGCCGTACGGTTGGAAGCAGCGCTGCAGAGGGTGTGTAGGAGATTGATTCTCTACTTTTCGGGCATAAATTGGTCGGTTCTGTTCGGCCCATGGGGGCCACCACGGGTCCCGTTTTACTAATCGGAACCATTGAATGTGTAGAACTCGTCGAGTACTATATGTTTGTAAAAATTCACGTTGATTGGATATCGATAGCTATCTGATCATGTTAGTTTTTTTTGTTAACTGTTAACTATAACATCATCCATTTTTATACAAAACTGTTTTGATCATATATTTAGCAATATCCGATAGACGTGATTTTTATAGGCATATAGTACTAGACGAGTTCTACATATTGAACGGTTTAGATTACCAAAATGGGACCCATAGTGGGCCTCTGCAGGCCCAACTCTGCCATCCAATTTAATGAATATTTTACACCCTATTTTTTTTCCCCCCCAGTCACTGACGGGCCCATCACGTCATACCTTGTTAATTGTATTTTTTTTGATTTGTATTATTATGTGGATATTATTTTTTTAATATTTTTTTTTTAGCGAATAGTGTTAACTTTTTAGCTTTTTGAGTAGCTTTTTGACTTTTATAGCGTATGCCAAACCAAGCCTATTAAGATAAATTTCATATATCGATTCTCAATTAGATGTAATCTCAATCAGATAATTAGATATAATCTCAAACTATATCTATGGAATTGACTTTAGAAATCTATCACATAAATTTAAGTAAATTCAATTAGCCATTAGTATTCTCAATCAGACGAATTTATGTGAATTGAGAATATAATACATTAATGCTTATTGAAACTCAAATAAATTTACATTAATAATGCACATACAGATAAATTTATCAACTTAAGCAACACATTAATATCTCTTTTTAGTTCAATTTTGTTCAAATTCACAACAAATAAGCATAAAAGTTTCTCTATTCAATTGCACAGATATTTCTTTAATCAATTGCACAAATTAATTTTTGTAATCAATTTCATTATCTGTCTAGGCAACACAATTTATTCTTGGTCTACTAGTTTAATCTATTCAATTCCCAAAAAATAAATAGTTAAATTTTTCCGATCAGTATAAATTTATTTGTTCAAATAACATAACTAATTACCCTTAAATCAATTAAAAATATAAATTGTTTGTGCAATTGAATATGGTTTGTGCAATTGATTATACAAATTTAAACAACCATCATCAAAATGTGTAATATCGAAGTTTATCTTTTAGAAACTATAACATCCATTTTTTTAATGAAAAAAATTCATTGCTAAAAGCGAAATTGACAACCAAAACGCCTTTTTTGGCAAAAAAAAATGAACCCAAACCGATGGGAAAAAAATACATGAAAAAAAGGGTAAATTATAATTTCTTTTTTAGGATTTTGCGTGTTTTTCAATTTAAACTCCGGGGTTTCAATTTTAATAATTAAAACGTTGATGTTATTTCTGTGTCCCAATTTACCCCCTTCATCCATCTCCGTTCATCTTCTTCCTTCAGCAACATACATAATTTTTATATTCAAACCCATCTGTTAAGTACTTGTATCTCCTTCGTCAAAATTTCTTTTCGCCTCATTTTTATGTTGTTGAATTCACCCAATGGCCCAGTTTTTATTCCATTCCCCATACGCCTTGTTCCACCTCTTTTTGCATACTATCAGAGCTTTGAAAGTTGACTAAAATTTTTTTTTTCTTTCTGTTTCCTTTCTTTAAGCCATCTTTTAGACTCGATAACTTTCTCGATTCTTAATGGTTTTATTTCATTCTTTTTCCAATCTCTTCACCTTACTTCCTATTTTGTCCTATGCTACCTCGCTTTCTTACTCCTCGAGATGGGTTGTTTGGGTATGCCGAAAGTAGCCCAAAAACCAACTTCGTAAATTCCAAAAACTTATATATTTTGTTTCTTTATCCTCCATCTTCCTTCTTCATCTTCACCTATAACATGTTGTGAATGGTGGTTCTAGGTTTTGTCAGAACTGGGCGATGGTGGTGGCGGTGGTGATCCGGCGGTGGTGATGGTGGTAGCGAAGCTCACGGTTAAAGGAGGTGATTACGGGGATGGTGTGGGTTAAAAGTGGTGGTGATGGAGTTCGATGACGGAGGTGAGGTTGAGAGGTGGTGATGATAATGCTCACATGGTGGTTGGTCTTCTCATAGGTTCATGAAGTGAGCATTGTGAAAGTTGTTTGGGTTCCTCCAGAATATGGTGATGGAGTTGTATGCATTTTTGCAGATGGAACTTTGTCATTGTGGGGGGAGGTTGCTAAAGGTATCCAATGAATTTTCTATGTCATTTACACCCAGTATCATAGTCTAAAATTAGGCAGTGATACACATCGGCCAATTCCTTTTGATTTGCATTTAATATGTTCTTCTTAGGAACAACATCGTCGATAACTCTTTGCTCTGTGTTTCATTTTGGTTTGTTCGTTGTTTGTTCTTTTTACTCTTCTTTGATAGATTTTTATATGCTTTTTTGTAATCTTTTCATTTTAAGCCAGAAACACCCATCTTTGTTGCTCATGATTAAAAAATACCACTACCTCATCATTCTGGATGAGTTTTTTGTTTAAAAATTCTGTGTGTACCATTTTCCTTTGTAATAATCAAGAAAAATATTACTCAAGCTTTGTATGTTGGAGAGCCTCCCATTTTGTGACTTGTGAACAAAGCCTTACTGTTATTTTGAACATCATTTTGTCATTCTATAGATACCACTGTCGCCACCGCCACCGCCACCGCCACCGCCATCGCCTAGCTCTGTCAAAAACCTAGAACCACCATTTCACAACATGTTATAGGTGAAGATGAAGAAGGAAGATGGACAAAGAAACAAAAGAGATGAGTTTTTGGAATTTTCAAAGTTAGTTTTTGCGCTACTTTTGGTATACTGAAACAATCCATTTTGGGGAGGAGCAAGAAAGCAAGGTAGTGTAGGACGAAATAGGAAGTGAGGTGAAGAGATTGGCAAAATAACGAAATAACACCGTTAAGAATCGAGAAAGTTATGGAGTCTGAAAGATGGCTTGAAGAAAATCAGAAACGGGAGGAAAAATCTTACTTTTTGTCAACTGAAGCAAGGTGTATGAGGAATGGAATGAAAACTAGACCATGGGGTGAATTCAATGCCGCAAAAATAAGGTGGAACAGAGTTAGGGAGATACAAGGACTTTAACAGGTGGGTTTGAATATAAAAATTTTGTGTGCGGTTCAAGGAAGAAGATGAATGGAGATGGACAGAGCGGATAAATTGTGACACAGAAATAACATCTAGGTTTTAATTAAAACCCTGGGGTTTAAATTGAAAAATATGCGAAATCCTTAGATTTTTTTTTTTTGGCTTCAAAAAAAAAAAAAAAAATTCCAATTGGACAAACAAATGTGGTTTGAATTTTCATTGAAGTAATTTCACCACCATCAACACCACAACAGAACACTATGCCACCACTATCAAACGCAACTGCCGTGGCCACCTCCTCGACCACCCTTGCCACCACCACCACTACCACAAAAATCTGAAAATCTTTTGAAATCCAACCACCAAAATTTGGAAACTTTTGGAATTCAAAAAGTTCAATTGTAGATATAATACAGTTATGGAATGTAGCATAAATTGTGAGAATTTTCTTGTGAAAAGGGAAAAATCATCTAAAAAGATGGTTCCCGCATAAAACATGGAAGATAGGATGTGGAATACAGAGGGGCCGAGGTCCTAGATGTAAGTTGATCTTACTAGTTTATTTCTAGGGAGGAAGCATAAAGAGTTTTATCGAAGGTTTGGTTAGTGGGAAGGCAACCTCTTTATCTAGACCAGAGGTGTCCGTTAGGGGGTTGTTATCGACAACAATTTGGATCTAGAGATGTGTGGGTCAGGTTTATGGGCTTGTTGAGACATCTATGGGATGAAGAGGTGTTATGAGCCATCGGAGATTGGTGTGGAGACCTCCTCGGAATCAATGATGAGGCAGTGGCGAAGAATCATCTCAGGTAGACTCAAATTCTACTAGTGAAAGCAACGGGAGCAAGATTTCAACCAAGGCATGGTCGGTGTAGTGCTTAGGTATGAGGTACCTTGACTTGTTGGGGGCTTCTATAGCAGTTTAGAGATGATTGAGAACAGTTAAGACCCTACTTCGTTAGTTGAGGTATTGGGAGGGGTGGACCAGGCAGAAACCTAATTTTGGCAATATTTGCACAAACTAGCTACCATTAGACTTGAACCATTGGCCTCAGTATGTATCCTAAGCTTTTATCATTGCGGTAGTAATGATACCCGTGCTTTAGGAAAATTACCAAGAAACAACTGTTTTTGAGGAAATCAAATGAACTATATAAAATCCAGTGTGGATTGAGAATTAATTGAACAAACATGTAGGTATGTGTTCCTAGCTACTTGGATTTACAGTGAAAGAAATGAGCATATTTTGTCCTGAGTATCTATCCTGAACAAAATTTAGTTTGGCTTGTGAACAAGCTCATGCTTGGTATAGCCTCACACTCTTAGCTCAATCAGCACTTCTTGACCTAGGCTAAAATTAACCCGACCTTGAAAATGATTGAAACACAGCACAAACACATAATTGAGTTGGAAGCCTTGTTAGCGCATTAATAACAACAATGAAATTGGTAGAGTTGAGAATAACATTAAGTTGTGAAATTAAGTGCAAAATAGAATCGCTTCTGTTTCTTGAGCCCCTTGCAATATGCAAATACACCAAATTTGTAAGTTTTACAAAAGGATGGGGGAGAGGTTTACAAACTAATGGTATGATTAATCTAGGGACACTTGGTAGGCAGCCAGCTAGGCGAGTCACTTTTGCATTCAGATACATCAAATAATAAGTTTCAAAAACATAAAACAAGTCGCTCTACGAAAATCTTTAATCATTAAGAAAAAAATCTAATGCTTACTTCTAATGGATTGGAGAGTTGAGACCCTCTTGAGAAGATAATGAATGCATAACTTGGTGCCTTTGTGAAGGAAAAGGTGGTGTCTTCCTGAATGAAGGCCTCTTAATGAGATGATGCAGAGTTCTCTTGGTGTAAATTGTTCGAAAAACTGGTGAAGCTCTCTCCTTGAACTTGAGAATGGTGAAGAAGAGAAGTCTATAAACTATAAGAATGACTATAACGACAGTTAAATCCCACCACTTGGAATGGTCCAACGAAATGCCAAGCACAGTGTTGATGATAACCTTGCCCTTCAGTTTTGGATCTCCTGGTTGTAGAGGATCAAACTCAAGCCCAATCATGTCATTCTTGTATTCCCCCTATGATAAACAAAGGAAACCATGCTATCCAATGTGATGAGCAGTACTATTTTCATCCACATGTTTGTTTTTGAACATATCAGATATGAAGTATTAGTGCAGCTTGGTAGATATGATGAATTTTCATAATACTTTTTGTAAGTTAGAGAAGATCTATTTACTTTTGTGAAAAAATCATTTAGAAAAGTGGAAAATCAATCAAAAATAAAAATGAGCATTTTCATTGTACTCGTCAAAGTAAATTAAGATAAGAATGGTGTTTTTGTTAATCATGAAAAAAATGAAACCAAACCAAACCAAACGGAGCTTGTGTCCCAATCTAGTGGGATCAGCTGCATGAGTCATTTTTCGACGTCTTGCTTTGTCAAGAGCTATGTGTGCAGTTAAATTAATAAATTCTTGCATATATAAATATATATTTTACAGACGTATCATATGTTTGTTTATGTATTCCCTTCCCCCTAATATTTTCATTTATGGTGATCATATAACTCTTTCTACATGTCTTTGTTGCATTTAAAGGTCTTTGTTGTACATAATCAAACTATCAACCCTGTTCTTTATCAACTTATCTTCAGTTAGTGCTGCTTTTATCGTTTTAAGGATATATTATTCATTTATAAATTTGTCTTTCCCAGTCCTACCATGTATCCATCTAAGCATCCTTATCTCAACTATATGAATTTATAAACGTATTGATTCTTAGGTAAAACATTGCTGGCTTTATAGTTCTATAAAAATTTCCTGACAATTTTGTTGATATTCGTTTATCATATAGTATGCCCAATGCACTCTTTCACTTGAATCAACGAACTTTGATTTATGGATCAGATCATTTCCAACCTCTCTATCCTCGTTAATAATTGAACATAAGAAATGAAAGTGTTGCACTCTTTGTTTAATTTTAGTTATATTAATTTTAAACCTTTTTTACTCGAGTGCTTCTCTATTTTAGTGTTAATTTCTTCCTTAGATTCATTCATTAGAATAATGTCATCTAAGGACAACATACATCATGGGCATCATCTTGAATGTGAAGCTGACCCCTTGATGCAATCCTATAGTGATTAGAAATTCAGTAGTTTCTACTAAAGTTATCTAATTACAGTCACAACCCATTATAAATATCTTTTATCGTATCAATATATCCTTTGGTCACATCATTTTTTTTTATCTAAAACTTGCCATTATATTTATATGTACCCTACCTTAAGATTTTTCTAAATCTGTAGAAATTATGTAAAGGTCTCTCTCTTTTCTTTGTAGTTCCCTGTTAATATTAGGGTAAATTACATTGACACTTCCTGAGGTTTGGTCCAATTATATCTCACCCCCTGACATTTTAGAAATTACATTTCCATTCCTGTGGTTAATAGTCTCATTTCACAAACTCTCCTTGCTTATATAAAAGGCAACAACTTCTAGTAGAAAAAAAAAAAAAAATTCATTGAAAAAAAAAAGTAAAGCAAAGGAAAGGGAAAAAAAATAAAAAAATAAAAACAAAGCAAGTAAAGTAAAGCAAAGCAAGAAAAGAGTGCATGAATTCAATGTTTTCATTCTATCTAAATAATTACAATGACAAGAGGGTTAGTGTGATTTTCCAAATGTTAGGGAGTGATACGTATTAAATCTAAACCTCGGGGAGCGTAAGTGTACTTTACCGTTAATATTATTAGTAAATATATTACTTCCATAGTTGATTTTTTGGACATAAAACCAAATTTATTCTTTGACACTACTGTTGCAACTCTTAGGCAATGCTCAATCGTTCTCTCCTACCATTTCATTGTATAACTCTTCAACTTGATGTGTCTATAATTGTTACAATTTTGTATACCTTCTTTATTTTTGCTGTAAATTACAACCACCTCCCTTAAGATATGAAGAAATTACAATTCCACACTTTTCACGTAATTACATCAGCACCCCCAACCATTAGAGAATTACTTAAATTGACCATTATAATACCATTAGAACTTATTATTGGCTTGGCTCTCATCTCATCTCGTCAATCATCAATCTCTCTCTCTCTCTCTCTCTCTCAACAACTCTACTGTCAGCACCACCACTACAATGCCCCCCTCTAGTGCCACCAACACTGCCCCGCTTCCTCCATCCAATTCACCGCTACCCTTACACACCCTTCTTTCTCTATTTAATGTCATCACAACCACCCTCTTCTCAGCTTCACTGCTGCCAATGCCACCCTTTCCCTTAGCACTGCCCCCTTTCCCTTTCCAGAAACTCTTCCCTTGTGCCATCTAGTTGAATAGTTCATATAGTTGCCCTTCATTCACACTCAAATTGAGATCACCTATTTATAGTGATGCATTGGTGAATTGTTTGCCCATCTGTATTGTTAACATTTGTGGTGTTGACGCAAGTGTCACTTCTACCACAGCCACATGAATTTGTTGCCCTAGAAGTGTGGGAACCATCATTGCCATTACAATCTTTAATGATTGATTGGTGCTTTGTTCCCCCGCTGCCTACCACTATAGTTGCCAACCCTCTCACAATGGGTGGCTGATTAGCAATAATTCATGTTTTTAGTAGGCTCTTTTAGTTGCTTAGATGTTTGATTAATGGGTTTTAGCAATGGAAGCAGAAAGGTTTTGGTGCTTCAGTGAGCTGTTGAGAATGAGTTAGGTGGGATGATAGAGGTGATGGTTGTGTTTGTTGAGGGGGATGACCATTGGGGTTTGCAACAACTGTAATATGAGTAGAGATAGAGGATGGTGGTGCCCAATGTAGTATTTATAGATGCTCATGAGAGAGGAGTGGGGAATTATGTAGAGAAAGAGCAGTTAACCAAGACACCCCATCCTTACCCAAATATATCCAAGTCTAAATAGTTATACAATTTGGTCCTAATATGTTACCTAATTTAATCAGCTTTAGTGCAAAATTCACGGCAGACTCCCTTTTTTAAGATAAAATTTTATTCTCTAGTTCCATCAATGCTAGGAATGCTGTTTCCAATACTACCATAGTCAAAAGTGCTTATACATTTATGCTTCGTTTGATATAGCAGAAAGCATTTTCCCAGGAAAACCATTTTCTGGAAAATGTTAGGTTTGATGCGAAAAACATTTTAGTGCTTGGTTGTGACGCTGAAATTATTGGTGCTGGTGGTTGTGGTACTTGTGTGGGTGGAGTTGCGGTGATGTGGTTGTGTGATGGTGATGGCATTGTGGTGGTGTTGGTATGATTTTGGTTGGTATGTGTCACATTAGGCTCGAAAAAGGTTTTTCACCTTCAAAATGGAAAATAATTTGCCACGCAAATCAGTTCATTTTCCATTGACCAGGGAATAAGTTTTCCATTGTACTAAATGTTAGAAAATGTGGAAGTGCTTTCCACCGAAACAAATGGTGCATTATTATGCAGCAAAATCAAGTGTTGCATATGTATTTAGTTTATAGAAAGTTACTATTTCTGGTGTTGCCTAGTAAGAGTTTTTCATGTATGAGGAACATTTCAAGGCTTGATAAAGTTGGCCTGTAGTGATGCAAAGCTCCGTGAGAAATATTTGGGTGCAAAATAGTGGATCATACCTGTAATGCCCATGCCATATAATTGATATATGACATTGGGTAGCGCCAAAATGGCTTGAGAAGATCAGTCAAGAATCGAAAGAACCCAGCTGTCATCATCATAACTCCCTGCAAACAAAGGTATGGTTATGAACTAAGATTCTGAAAATGATGAAAATAAAATGATGATTGTGATGGAAAAAGAAGAAGCTCGTAAAACGTTTAGGAAGTAGCCTTGCTTATGATGATTCTAGCCCCGGTTATGAGTTCCATCAAGAAGTTGGGAACGAATGAAGCCACAACCATCATGCAACTCTCAACGACGGCAATGGAGCTCACAAGGTGAAGGCACGTATAGGCAAATGCAAGAAGCCAGGTCGGAACTTCACCATGTGATAAGTAATAGTAGCGGTACTAAGCGACATCACGACCAAGAATGGAAATGAAGATATGAAGTTTGAAAGAATATATAAGCCGACTCCGTAATGACTGTTGAGTCTCTCTTTGTAGAAAATCTATTTCAAGCAAAGTTATTAAAATTGGGATCCTATCTAGGATCGTTGAGAGGGACTTGTGGATTGGATCGTAGAAACAGATCAAGGATTTTAAGGTTTTACTTTCATTGCGAAAAATGGTCGATAATGATAATATATGCTTAAGTAGGGCTGCAAACGAGATGAGACGAGTTGAGCTTTATTGAGCTTGAGCTCAAGAAACTCGTCGGCTTCTCGAGCTCATCTGTTGAGCTCGAGCTCAGCTTGATAAATAACTAGGCTCGAGCTTGACTCGGCTCGTTAATATTAATGAAACTCGAGCTCGACTCGGCTCGACTCGATAAGATCTTTTTTAATATTATTTAAATAAAAAATATTATTAATATTATTTAATATATAAATAATGTATTTTGACTATTATTTAATATGTATTATTTAATATGTAAATGGTATATTTATTATATAATTTAAATAAATATAAACGAGTTGAATTTGACAGCTTATTCGAGCTCAAGCTCGTTTATTAAACGAGCCTAATATTCGAGCTCGAACGCGGCTCGTTTACTAAATGAAGCGAGCCGAGTAGAGCCTTTAACAAGTCGAGTTGAGCTTGTTCATGAATAGCTTGGTTCATTTGCAACCTATGCTTAAGTAATTTTAAAATCATTAAAGAAAAATGATAAATTTGATATAATGCATCTAATATGCTAAGATAAATTAGAGGAGACTTGGAAATAAAGTTTATAATCAAATTTTTTGTATAGTGCATATACATATGTAAGAAATAAATGGTTTGAAAAAATTTAGTAGGATTGGGTTCATAGTCATATTAAGATTCTATAAAATTTAAGATTCTAGTGCGATCTAGATTATTTGGCCCAATTGGAATAGTTGAATTGTAAGATCCTATGATCTGTATTGGGATTTTGATAACCACGATTTCAAGAATATGAAAACAAAAGCATCGAAAGCTCAAGATGAGAATTACTGAAGTATCGAATCCAATTGAGTTCGTTTACCTTCATTTCTTCAATGAAGGATGGGAAGCCTCCGATGGACATGAAGATCATGGAACTTGATATAAATCCACCGCATGATCCGCGCGCCAAGATCACAGAGTAGCTGGTGCCAACATTGAAAAAGATGGAACCAACAGATATAGATACAGCTATGTATGTGATTATCCTCAGCCAATAATATCCAACATCCCTAGACATGTTTACGAATGATCTTTTTGTTAAAGTCGATAGTTGCTTGCACCATGTTGCCTGGCTCCCAGTTTTTGTTTCCATCACAAGTCCTTGCAACAATGGGTTATTTGATCATGTTTTTGTTTTGATTTTTGATTTTTGATTTTTGATTTTTTTGGAAACAAAAATAATGGAAAGTTTGAAAAACATTAGTAGTTTTCAATTTTGGGCAAAAATAATTTTTGAAAATTCAGAAACAACATTTTGGTGTTTCCTGAAAATGAGTTGTTCTCAAAATTGTTTCCCACAAAAAAGTGTTTTTTTTTCTCCTCAAAATGAAAACAGAAAGTGAAAAGATGTAAGAAAGGGGTTCATTTTAGAACCATCAGTTGAGTATGAAATGTTTACAATAGTTGAGATTTCTTGAACCCTAGCTCTGGCTCTGGCTGCATGCTTTGAGCATTTGTATTTCTTAACCAGCATGCTTTTGATCTCTGCTGTTGCCAAATTCATCATAAGGCTCGATGATTTTTCTGTTTCCTGTGATTTGGAAACCATAAACGAATGAGTCAGAAATTTGAATTTAGAATAAAAATTAAAAACTATAGAGTGAATTCAAGGAGGAAAAGGTTAGAAATTGAAGCGTGTACTTGGGCATATGTTTTGGTTATAAAAAAAGAAAGGTCAACAAAGACTAAGGCATAAATTTTGCTAAATGAAACTATGCTAGTATGTATGTATGTGTCAAAAAGGGTGATTCAATGCATGAAGTTTTCGATAAAATGTAGTCTGGGGACAGTAAGATGCCCAGTGTCCAAATGGCAAGAAAGGAAGGAAAATGAAAAGAAAAACTGGTTTCCTTTCTAGTGTGGTGCGTGTCCTGTAGAAGGGTTTGGATAAAAGATTTGGAGTTTTTTTTTATAAAAAATGGAAGGAGTATCATGGAAAAATTGTGGGTCTTACTTTTTATTATTGTTTTCTTGAAGGAATCGCTAATGCTTCTCTCAAATCATTTTCAGTAAAAAAGACATTATGCATCGAGGAAAAGTTCAAATCATATTTGAACATAAACTTTCTTGTAAATTGAGAAAAAATACATTATATTTATTTATTTTTTCATTTCCTTCAATCCATTTTTTCAGGAAACATTTTCCTAAACAACATAATATTCTTGACAATTGAACAAAGCTTAGGGTGCTAACGGCAAACCTTCATGTGATAATGTCAATGATCTTGTAGTCATTAGGGTTGCAAAGGTGCCGAGCCGAGCTTTGCTAAGCTTGAGCTCGGCTTGTTTACTTATCGAGCTCGTTTATTGAGTTCGAGCTCGGCTGGATAACTAACTGGATTCGAACTCAGCTCGTTAATATTAAAGAAACTCAAGCTTGGCTTGGCTTGGCTCGATCTCAGTAAATTTTTTATTATTATTTATATTATTTAGATATATTTATATATTATTTAATATATAAATAATATATGTAATATATAATTTAAACAAATATAAACGAGTTAAGCTTATTCGAGCTCGAGCTCGAGCTCGGTTCGTTTAAATGAGCCAAGCTGAGTCTGCTCGTGAACAACTTGATTCATTCGCAGCCCTAGGTCATATAAAAGGAAGAAAATGAAGTTTTTAAAAATTCTTTGCATGTATGAATGCAAAATTAAAACATTACCCTAAGCTATAAGGAATTATTAGGAAAAGTTATTAGAGTTAAATTAAGCCAAAATAAATACACACACATACCGGTATTCTATGAGATTCAATGAGAGAAGCAGTGACATTGTCGAAGTTTGAGTTTATACAAAGTAGGAAGTGATCTGAAGGGCTTCTACTCGGACATGGGTAACCCACCTCCGCAAAGAACTGTCAAAGTTAGTATTTCAGAAAGCGAAAACACAACCAAATTAGACAAAGAATAAGCAATCAAAATAGAGAAGCAAGTTTCAAACACTTCTGAATATTCTATACCTCCACTGCCATCTTTGCTTCTCCAAAGTAAACAGTTTCGCCCCCAGATATCAAGAAAAGGTCATCAAACAACGCAAACACTTCACTACTCGACTGATGAATCGAAGATATAACTGTTCTGCCATTGTGCGCAATTTTTTGAGGATTTGAGTCACGAAGAAGGCGGAGGCGCTGTCAAGGCCGCTAGTGGGTTCGTCAAGAAACAAGAGATGGGGCCTTGTAAGGATTTCGAGTGCAATGCTGAGTCTCTTCTTCTCCCCACCACTTATGCCTCTCAAATGCCAGTTTCCGATGAGGTGATCAGCACAATCTTGAAGTCCCATTTCAGTGAGTGTTCCTTCTATGATACCCATTTATCTTTTCTATGCTCATGTTTTTGGTTGGTAGCCTCAAATGGGCTGAGTATGTGATGGTTTCTCTCACTGTTGGACTTCCTAACAGTATATCTTCTTGGGTTACATAAGCCTGTAATCCCAACATTTTAAAACATAAAAATAAAATTATAGAAGCAAATAAAAAGAATGTGAAATCTAATTATAGAATTGAGAATTTATTGAAATTGAAGAGAGTTCATTAGGCCAAAAAAAAAAAAAGAAGTTAAAAGCCAGCTTTTTTATTATTATTATTTACTTATATTTTATTTTTTTGAACTTGTTTTTATTTCAAGTCAAATTTTTTTACTTTATTTTTGTTTGTTTGTGTGTGTGTGTCCATCTTGACTAAATAATTCTAAAAATTAAAAGAAAATTTAGTTAATTTTAAAAATATTTCACTAAAAACAAAAATAAATCCAATTTTATCCAAAAAAAAAAAAAGTTGAGAGACACTGGCTTATTTTGTCTTTTTGATCTTTTTAATAAAAAATCTAATTTTAATTTTTTTTTTAGGATCATAAATATAAAAAGTAAAGTCATTGGAGTTTATTTTAAGAAAAATAACTCCCCAAAAAAGCCTAAAAGCCTATAAAAACAGTTCTGTAAAAAATGACGTTGAATCTATTGTGTCCGTTTGTCTTGTTCTTCTATTGGTTTGAGACCAAAAAATAAAGGAACGATATGAACTAGGCATCCCAATTAGGGGGCGGAGGGAGGGCATGGCCAGAAAGGGCTCTGGTTCCTCCAAAATTATTGAAAAAATGCCTACTTGCATTATATGATTCAATGAAACATTTAGTTATTGGCCCATTGAAAATTTGAAAAAATGAATAATAAATAAAAACTAAAACTTTAGGTCCTCCCAAATTTTTACTTTATTTTATTTTATTTGACTGTTGTCTAAATTCAACAACGACAATGCTACGTAACTCAAATTTTGTGGCTCAAAAGTGGCTCAAATGGCTAAAACGACGTCGTTTTGAGTACAAAACAACATAAAAAATAGCCAAAACGACGTCGTTTTGGCCATTTGAGCCACTTTTGAGCCACAAAATTTGAGCTACGAGACATTTTCCATTCAACAATTCTAGCTCCACCCCTGATCTCAATGGCCTATAAACACACAAAGCTAACAAAAATTTTGATAATCTTTGTTTGGATGTGGATTTGAAACAATAGATGAGTGAAGTGGGTGAAAATTAATCAAGTCTTGGTGCTAGGCCCAATGCAATACTCACTCCAAGGTGGAGCTAGGTCGGACCTCGGCCCTATGGCCAACACTTGCTCCGAAGTAAGACAATCATAGGAGTTCGGCCCAATGTACGAGCGTCACTCCAAAGTGGAGCTAGGCCCAATGCAACACTCACTCCAAGGTGGAGCTAGGTCGGACCTCGGCCCTATGGCCAACACTTGCTCACCGGTATTCTATGAGATTCAATGAGAGAAGCAGTGACATTGTCGAAGTTTGAGTTTATACAAAGTAGGAAGTGATCTGAAGGGCTTCTACTCGGACATGGGTAACCCACCTCCGCAAAGAACTGTCAAAGTTAGTATTTCAGAAAGCGAAAACACAACCAAATTAGACAAAGAATAAGCAATCAAAATAGAGAAGCAAGTTTCAAACACTTCTGAATATTCTATACCTCCACTGCCATCTTTGCTTCTCCAAAGTAAACAGTTTCGCCCCCAGATATCAAGAAAAGGTCATCAAACAACGCAAACACTTCACTACTCGACTGATGAATCGAAGATATAACTGTTCTGCCATTGTGCGCAATTTTTTGAGGATTTGAGTCACGAAGAAGGCGGAGGCGCTGTCAAGGCCGCTAGTGGGTTCGTCAAGAAACAAGAGATGGGGCCTTGTAAGGATTTCGAGTGCAATGCTGAGTCTCTTCTTCTCCCCACCACTTATGCCTCTCAAATGCCAGTTTCCGATGAGGTGATCAGCACAATCTTGAAGTCCCATTTCAGTGAGTGTTCCTTCTATGATACCCATTTATCTTTTCTATGCTCATGTTTTTGGTTGGTAGCCTCAAATGGGCTGAGTATGTGATGGTTTCTCTCACTGTTGGACTTCCTAACAGTATATCTTCTTGGGTTACATAAGCCTGTAATCCCAACATTTTAAAACATAAAAATAAAATTATAGAAGCAAATAAAAAGAATGTGAAATCTAATTATAGAATTGAGAATTTATTGAAATTGAAGAGAGTTCATTAGGCCAAAAAAAAAAAAGAAGTTAAAAGCCAGCTTTTTTATTATTATTATTTACTTATATTTTATTTTTTTGAACTTGTTTTTATTTCAAGTCAAATTTTTTTACTTTATTTTTGTTTGTTTGTGTGTGTGTGTCCATCTTGACTAAATAATTCTAAAAATTAAAAGAAAATTTAGTTAATTTTAAAAATATTTCACTAAAAACAAAAATAAATCCAATTTTATCCAAAAAAAAAAAAAGTTGAGAGACACTGGCTTATCTTGTCTTTTTGATCTTTTTAATAAAAAATCTAATTTAAATTTTTTTTTTTAGGATCATAAATATAAAAATTAAAGTCATTGGAGTTTATTTTAAGAAAAATAACTCCCCAAAAAAGCCTATAAAAACAGTTCTGTAAAAAATGACGTTGAACCTATTGTGTCCGTTTGTCTTGTTCTTCTATTGGTTTGAGACCAAAAAATAAAGGAACGATATGAACTAGGCATCCCAATTAGGGGGCGGAGGGAGGGCATGGCCAGAAAGGGCTCTGGTTCCTCCAAAATTATTGAAAAAATGCCTACTTGCATTATATGATTCAATGAAACATTTAGTTATTGGCCCATTGAAAATTTGAAAAAATGAATAATAAATAAAAACTAAAACTTTAGGTCCTCCCAAATTTTTACTTTATTTTATTTTATTTGACAGTTGTCTAAATTCAACAATTCTAGCTCCACCCCTGATCTCAATGGCCTATAAACACACAAAGCTAACAAAAATTTTGATAATCTTTGTTTGGATGTGGATTTGAAACAATAGATGAGCAACATTTGTTTCTGCATATATATATATATATATATATCTATGAAAGTGTATGTACCCATGTAATAATTAATATATAACGATACTTACAGCAACACCATAGTGAAGACTCCTCTTCTTGCCATTAAGGAGAACATTGTCAGTCATGATAACATTTCCTGAGAGTCTACCTGTATTACTACTGCCAATGTCAGTCCCTCTCTTTGCTTATGCATTCATTTTTCATTCATAAATGCATCAATAACTTCTCTACATATTTATAATAATAGGACACTAACATATTTTAATTGATTAGGTCCCTTAATAGATCAAAGATGGGCCTTTTATTCTTACCCCATGTTGTTGCAGAGCATTGAAAGTGACACTTGAAAATACTTGGTTTTGCATTCACATTAGTAAAACATTAGTTTGGTTTTGCATTCACAAAAGAAAGTGACAGCAAAAGTGATTTCATTTCTAAATTTTTGTCTCTAAAATCTTATTATGTTGTATGAATAGATGTGTCCATATATATATTTATGCAGTGATTGTATTATGTATTTATTGAATGCACCATATGTATTTAAATTCATGTTTCTTTTTCTATACAAACTTTTGGACCAAAAGAGAAAACATGAGATAGTCCACTTGTATTATTGTAAGACAGATGAAGTGAACCTATTACTATTAGTTGCTTGCTTTCAAAAGTAGTTTCGAGGATATGGAAACTATTGTTATGATTTTAACTTTGGAAGGCAAGGGTATATATAATCCAAAAATTTGCAATAAGTGTGTGAAATGTAATATCAATTTTTATTAATACAAAACAATCTAAATACATGTGTATTTTTTAAAGAAAAATTTGTTGAGAAATTCATATCTAGGAAGTGTATTATATTAGATCCAAGAATGGTTTTGTTTTGGTTATAAAGACATAATTAATGAAATTGTTTGGTGAGAAAGCCAAATTATTATTTTGAATGATAAATTTTTTAATTTTTTTTATTCACTGTGACTAGATTAGTCACCAAAAAAGTTATCGAAGGTGGGCAGTGGCGGCAGCTGGTGATAGTGGTGATGATATGGATAAATAAGTAGATTATGTGGATTAATAGGTAAGACTTGATAGACAGGTAGACAAATAGGTAAAATAGTGGATGGATAGATAGATAGATGGTCAAGGGTAATATGATATTTCAAATTATTATTATTTTTGTAACCTTAAAAGATTGAATAAAGATTGGGACCTCTTTTCCTTCACCTCCTTTGACCTCCTTTCTTTTTTGATTGGTCACTTTTTCTTTTTCTTTTTCTCCTCCAATCACCACCCGCCACGTGTGTGTGGGTGGTAGTAGTTGAAGTTTGAGGGGGTCTAAATCACTGCTTGGTGTGCTGGGTGTGGGATTGTTTTGGTGCTTGTCTGACCAAAGAGTAGGTGCAGATGAAAACAGTACTGAAGATATCTGATAGTAAAAGCCATCTCTGTTATGGATCAAACAACTTGGGTTAGTGTATCTGCTCTCATTAATATCCTGGAGTAGACGACTGCTGTTTATTATATATATTCTAGATTTTTCAATAAAAAAATAAACATTGGGTTATAGCTCAATTTTTTTGCTTTTACAGCTCAATTCTACTGTCCTTTACTATACTGAAACAGGGATCGGAAAGAAACAGATTTTTCTAGTTGCATAGCCTGAACATGTTATTTTAGTAAAAAAAAAATTTGTTTGTTTTTTAACTATAAAGTAAAAAAAATTATTATATTTGAGATGATTTTTTTATTTTTTACGAAAAACATACAAAAAGTAGAGAAAATGAAATCTTTGTTTTTGTTTTGTTTTGTTTTTTTGTGTGTATAGTTTGTTAACTTTTTAATCTTTTTAATAATTTTTTTGACTTTTAAACTAAAATCAACCCTTCCTAAATGACAGTCCACCTTTTCCTTATCTGTGATTTTTTGTAATCTATTTTTATTTTATTTTTTGGATATTACTATTCCAATTTAAAAATTAGATTTATTTTTCAAATTTAATGATATGACAATTAATTAGAACTCTCTTTCATATCTTCTTTAGGTATTAACCAATTATCTTATTTACATATCATTGGATTTTAATATATTATTTTTATTTTTTATTTTGTCTGGGTGGACCTAATTCTATATAACTAGTGTTTTTGTTTAATATATATATATATATATATTTGAGTTGAGATGGGTCAACACCAAGCCTTTCTTTTTTTTCTTTTTTCTTTTTTTTCAAACGAAAACGAGAAATTGAGAATTGTGTAATTGCTTTTTCTTTTCCTTTCCTCTTCCTTTTTTTTTTTTTTTTTTTATTGTGTAAAATAGTTTTAACAATGTTTAAAAGTAGTTCTTAACATAATATTTCAATAAGCTATTCCAAAAATAATAAAAAAATAAATAATCAAAAATAGTTTTTCAAATAAGGGCAAATTACATATACACCCCTCGAGGTTTGGTTAAATTACAGATACCCCCCTGAGGTTTCGGAAATTACATCCCGCCCCCTGAGGTTTGTATTTTCATAACAATTTACCCCCTGAGGTTTATATTTCATAACAAATTACCCCCTAATTTCTTATGCAAATATAGCATTCAGGGGGGAATTCGTAATTTCTCAAACCTCAGGGGGGTATCTGTAATTTTGTCAAACCTGGAGGGGTGTATATGTAATTTGCCCTTCAAATAATTGTTTAAATCAATTTTTGCTTTTTTATTTTTGGAAAAAAATTACAATACCAAACACATTTAAACAATAAACGAACATAAAAACAAAATATTAAAACACAACCTAATAGATTTATAGGCTTTGAGCACCCGGCTTCACCACTGCTGCTCTCTCTCTCTCCACTTCATAATTCCGGACAAATTCTTCACCATATTTTTATCTTTTTGTATCTCTTCGTACCCTCTTGTAGGTCTTAATTTGGTTCTGCACCAATAATTCGAACCGTCTATTTCATAAGTTTCATAATAAAAGTCATTCATAAAAAAAATGAGTTTCATCAAAAAATTATGAACTTAAAGAAAAAATAGCGTTTAATTTTATAAAATAAACGACAAATGTTATTGTGAACTTAAATAATTAATTTTTATAAAACAAAATGTATTTTGTTTCTGTTTTTATAATTTTTTTTATGAAATTCATTTTTTATATGGATGACCTTTATTATAAAACAGACGATTCAGATTATAAATACGGATCCGAATTGGGACTACAAGAGGGATATGGAGAGGTATGAAAAAATGAAGGTACAGAGGGAGCCTATAAATAATTGTATTTTTTGATTTTTTATGAAAATATATACAAAAAAATAAAAGAAAATAGAATCTTTAACTTTTTAGTGTAAGTAGTTGACTTTTTGATTTTTTTAATGATTTTTTATTTTTAGATTAAAAAGTGATATTACGAAACGAGACCTAGAGTATGAGACAAAATTATATGTAAAATTTAGGAATACAATTGATACAAATTCAAATATTGAAAATAATTAAGAACTATTTTGGGGATAAGATGAGATTATCATTTTTGAAGGACAAAATGACATTAAAAATAAAAAATAAAACCCAAACTTCGGCCTCGTTTGGGAAGGCTCTGTTTTAGCCAAAAAGTCAAAAAGTTACTAAATTAGCCAATTAGCCAATTAGTCATACCAAAAAGTCAACAATTACGGCTTCTCTCTACTTTTTGCACAGCTTTTCGTAATTAGTCAAAAAGTCATCCCAAACATACAAGTTTTTTTTACCTACCTTTTTAGCCAATTAGCCAAAAAGTTACTAAATTAGCCTGTTCCCAAACGAGGCCTACCAAAAAGTCAAAAACACGAGTAAGTCTATATTGAAATGAATGAGAATAAAAAAAATGATTCTTCATTATTAATTTCAGCAAAAAATTTTATTCCCCAACAAATTATATGATTCTCTTACTTTTCCATAGATTTTTTGAGAAACATTAATTATTTAAGAGCAAAAATAAAATGGAACTAACAAGACTTAAAATTTTGCCAAATTTTTTTTAAATATTTTCTTTTATAAAAGATTCATAACGAAATTAATGCTAAATGCAAAAATAACATTCATCTAAAAATTTTGTTACCAATAATGTTAATAACATCGTTTTGCTCTCTACTAAGGGCTAGTTTACGAAGTGTTTTTTTTTAATAAAATATGAGGTGAAAAAATTTAAAGTGTTTGAGAATAAATTTTGACTTTTAACTTTTTTATGTTTTTATTAACTTTTGATTAAAATCTTTTTTCGCCAAACACACCTAAGTAACGAAGCAAAAAAACGTTCGCAATTTTTTTTTTTTTTCCTGCTAAGGCTGGTAAGAGCACAATCAAAATATTCATCAGATTATTTACTATTGTTACATTTTTTTCTTAGCAAGAAAAAACACATCTGGCATGATGTACAGATTATTAGATTTTTTTAGTAATATTTTTTTTGTCTCCTTTGCGAGGATTTCAAAAAAAAAAAATAAGAAAAATGATCCGGACTCCTCCAGGGATGACCCCCAAGACCCCCTCTGGTTTGTGATTGGCCAGATTTTTATTTTTTTTTTTCAATCACCAACCCCCACGTGTGTGTAAGGGGTGGTGGGGGTTGGTGATTGAAGGGATCTTAATCACTTCTGAAAAAATAATATAAATAAATTTAAAAAATGGGTAAATTACACTAACACCTCTGAGGTTTTTATTTAATATAAATCTCTCCTCGTATTTAAAAAAGGAAAATGATTTGTCCCCCGAAATTCTTCCCCCCAAATCCCCCTAATGGCCAAAACGACGTCGTTTTGGCC